TATAAAAAATATCACAATCCAAAACAAATAAATTATTTTTACCCAAGGTTAAGTGTCAAATTTGAGAGATTAATGCAATTTGCTAAAGCAGAACCTAAGCCTGATGTACCTTCATCACCAATTTTATTCCAACTTTTTAAATTTTGAAGAAAAAATATATTATTAAATAGCTAATTAGAAGGAAAAAATGAAGAAAAAATATGAAATAATAAGATTAATTAATTAATAATAAAAGCAAAAGTTTAAAATAAAATTATGAGCTAAATTAACAAAGAAAGAAAGAACAAAAAAAGCAAGCACAATAAAAAGAAAAAGAAAAAAGAGCTTAGTTGTTTTTAATTAGTTTTTATAAATAAAAATATCACAATCGAAAACAAATAAATTGTTTTTACCAAAGATTAAGTTTCAAACTTGAGAGATTAATGCAATTTGCTAAAGCAGAACCTAAGCCTGATGCACCTTCATCACTAATTTAATTGTCACTTTTTAAATATTGAAGAAAAAATATATCTTTAAATAGTTAATTAGAAGGAAAAAATGAAGAAAAAATATGAAATAATAAGAAATAAATAATAAAAGCAAAAGTTGAAAATAAAATGATGAGCTAAATTAACAAAGAAAGAAAGAACAAAAAAAACAAGCACAATAAAAAGAAAAAGAAAAATGAGCTTTATTGTTTTTAATTAGTTTTTATAATTAAAAATATCACAATCCAAAACAAATAAACTATTTTTACTAAAGATTGAGTGCCAAATTTGAAAGATTAATGCAATTTGCTAAAGCAGAACCTAAGTCTGATGCACCTTTATCACCAATTTTATTCCAACTTTTTAAATATTGAAGAAAAAATATATTATTAAATAGCTAATTAGAAGGAAAAAATGAAGAACTAATATGAAATAATAAGAAATAAATAATAAAAGCAAAAGTTGAAAATAAAATGATGAGCTAAATTAACAAAGAAAGAAAGAACAAAAAAAGCAAGCACAATAAAAAGAATAAGAAAAAAGAGCTTTGTTGTTTTTAATTAGTTTTTATAATTAGAAATATCACAATACAAAACAAATAAATTGTTTTTACCGAAGATTAAGTGTCAAATTTGAGAGATTAATGCAATTTGCTAAAGCAGAACCTAAGCCTGATACACATTTATCACCAATTTAATTGTCACTTTTTAAATATTGAAGAAAAAATATATCTTTAAATAGTTAATTAGAAGGAAAAAATGAAGAAAAATATGAAATAATAAGAAATAAATAATA